CTATTGCTAGGAGAAATATATTGTTGTTTGTTTCCATCTTGGAATCTTCTGTCTTCTATAAGCATCTGTGAAACTCGCAGTCTCATTTGTTGTCTTGAAAATGGGGTAAAATTTCATACCCCTCACAGTTCTTGATACCAACTCTAATTTTAATCATTTACTTCAGCAAATTAACATATATGTTCAGTTAATTAACATATTTTAAATGGTAAAAGGTTTATTTAATCATACTTATAATAAGAGCATTGACTTAATCAGGTTGTTAAACAATAACGGGAAGTTTTTCCCCCCCTCCCTTTTTTTTTCAATCTCCAATCTTTGATTGCTTTATAAAAAGAGGTTTATAGGGTATAAAATAAGGTATCCTTAATTATTTTTTAACATTTAGTTTTCTTAAAAGAAATCTTTGTTCTTTGTAGTCTTTCATCCAGTGTGATTTGGTAGTTGTGATATCTTTTTTTCTGGGTAATGACTAATAATGAAAGATAGTGGGTGCTAAGAGCTACTGTGCTAATAGTGTGTATAATAGGAAGAAGGTGTTTATCCTCTCTATGGGTTAGTCCTGGACATAATCATACTCTAGCGGAGATTTGAGACTGTTTTGTAGCACAGGGAAATCTAGATGGAGCTTGCAGATCTGGTTATCATTCTAGCCACTCTAGGTTCATTTAAAAAGAAAGTCTTGATTGTAAATTTTTTGTCTGCTGGGGCTTTAATTAGTATTTATTCTCTTTCTCTTCTCCCTTTCCTTCTCCAGGATTTAAGCGGGGCGCAGATCCTGGAATGCCTGAACCAACCGTTTTGAGGTACTGCTCTTACAAATAAATGTTCATATGTTAGTACTGAATCATTGGGAAGCAAAAGGTAGTGTTGGGAGGCATTGTCATGGAGCTTTACCACTTGGTATAGTTTGGGGCTGTTGGAAAATTGCAGCAATTTGCAGACCAGTCTAGGTTATGTTAACAGGTAAGTATTTTCTTTCCCCTTCCTAATTTTTATTTACTGTACCATCTTATAACCATAATGAAGCATATTTTAAAAGAAAAAGAACTAATTTATNTGGTTCGACTCCCGCATGGGATGGGTGGCTACGCCCACCCGCAACTAAGATTGAACACAGCACCTTGAGCTTAGAGACCGTGAGCTGCCAACAGGAAGCCAGATGGTGACTGGCGCCCTCCACAACGAAGATTGAATAACAACAACTTGGCCAGTCCCCTTCCCCAATTCCCAACACTGTTCCTCTCCCCCGATTCCCAAATAAAATCTTAAAAAAAATAAATACACACACAAAGGATTTCTCTATTATAATAATAATAATCACCATATATTGGAGGTGACTTTAAAAAAACGTGTAAGACTGTGGGAAGAGTGAATGCGTTCCAAGTTGAAGTCACCCCAAGAACACTGCCTCAAGCATCCCGCAAGCAGCAAAACCCAGGCGATTCCTAACACGTTTGGACCGTGAACTCCGGCATCCGAGCGAGAATAACCAACCACGCATGCGCCTTCAATAGGCAATGCTGCGGAGAGGCGGAGCAGGTGAAGGGCGATAAATTACGACCTCTGTTGGCGACTCTTGCCGTAAAGGCCATGTGTGGCGCATGCGCACCACCTTTCTCTTTCGGATTCCCGACGCGGTCGCGGTTGCTGTGGGTTCTTCCTGTGCCGCCTGGGCCGTCGCCATGGTGAAGCTGAGCAAAGAAGCCAAGCAGAGGCTGCAGCAACTCTTCAAGGGCGGCCAGTTTGCCATTCGCTGGGGCTTTATTCCTCTCGTGATTTACCTGGGTCAGTGGGAGAAGAACCGGGGAGGGGCGGGGAGGGAGGGAGAGAGGTGCGGAGGTCGCGACTCCATCTTTGGCTTCTAGGGCCGGGGAGAGAAATGTGACCACGCTATGCAGGTCCTTTGAGGCTGTGTGGTCAGGTGAGGTCGGTCTAACGAGTTCGAATTACTGTTCTGTCCTTCACTGTGTTTAAGGTTTATAACAAGTCACGTCATCCCTCTCATTCCATTTTTACATGTGTAAAATGGAGGTGACGTGCTTTTCAGGGTTGTTGGGAGACTTAGACGACCTGATGTATGTGAAAACGGCCCATGGCACTCTTTGGCAATAGGTAGATTTTCAGGACGGTTGTCCTCACCTGTCCAGGTGGGCTGGCCTCAGTGGGAAGAGGCCTGTAGATACCGGGGATATGCCACTGCCTTAAAGCATTATTCTGAAAATTGTTGTATGCATCTGCCGTCTAGCCCGTACCATGAAGGTTATGGATGATTTTTTATTATAGATTCCCTTTTACAGGTGAGGAAACCGTTCAGTCGTGGAGAAGTTTTGATTCTTGTGGAAGGCCACACAGCTGTTAAGTGAGGGCGCGATGAACTCAAGAGTGGGGGCTTCAGGGCCCATACTCCTAACCATTATGCTGTGCTGCAAAGTTTTGTAAAGGCGCAGGCACATATTTTCACCTAAGGCAGCACATTGGGACTTTATCCTATTTCTAAAGTCTTGGGTAGGTTTTTTTCTTTTGCAATCTTATTGCCCCTACTCAGTAGCATGGTGGGAAGAGCCCCAGCTCTTGTCAGTTTGAGCATAAAGAATTCTATGAATTAGAATTCTATGATTTTAACAAGGTGCTGCTTCCTGTTTGTTTTAGGTGTCATGCATCGCCTAAGACAAAGTACGTTCTTAATCTTGACAGAGGCTTTGATTATACTGGACGTTCTTTAGGCGGCTGTGGCTCCCATTTTCCCATGAATTGCAAGCCAATTTATCACCTGGGAATACTTAAGTATTCAGGACTTAGAAAGGTCTTCTTTATTTTGAATGCAGTTTTTTTTTT